TTTTTCTCCCACATGGTCAGTCATCAAAATATAATTTGAACGGTTTAAGGGAATCTTTTCGTATGTTAGTAATACATTTATATAATATTATTATTCGTATTATATGTCCCTACGAGGTTTATATAAGCGTTTCTATAGACGGATTTCAGTAAAATATTCACTGGATAGACATCATTCAAACTACTCTAAAATTGTATAATAATATATTATCGAAAACGATATCGAAGTGTGTTCGGAAATATTTAAATAGTACAATTTTGTTCCTTTTTACGATGTTATAATTTATACGATTCAGACTGAAATACGATTCAGTCATAGGCGGATCCAGAGTTTTATATTTGAGTGTGCCCGGCTTTTTTTTGTATTTATTTTTTATATTACAGAGGGAATGAGGCTATAAACAAATCACATCAGATTAAATAATGATAAAATAATTAATAAATGAAATACAAATTACCAAAAGTGTTATTATTATTAGAATTTTTTTATTGTTATCAGTGCGATGTCGATTTCCATGAAAAGGCAATATTTTTTCGCTAAAAATAGTTACCACCACTATTAGACCGACCGTGACGTTTTTGTGTTGACGACAATAACGTTGAATAATATAATTTAACAATAACAATAAACAAATACGTCAATACGTGTAGACAGTGTAGTGATTTATATATTATAAATATACAGGCTTCATTAATAATGTAAAATAACAATATTATTGATAAAAAAAATACATGTAATTATTACCTATTTTTATTAAATATTTAATTATTTCAGACTGATTCTGAACACTTACAAAAAACTAATATTAAATTAATGTGTATATATTATATTATTAATTATTATTATTTAATTGTTTCTCTTTATATGTATTAGGGTGTAAGGCACACCCGGCACCCCCCGTAGATTCGCCTATGGATTCAGTCATGAATGTGTGATGACACATAAAAAGTGCGATTTAAGAATACTAATAATATGGCATATTGGCAATATCTGTAACTATATTTCTATATACTATAAGTCTATAACTAATTATAAGCAAATAGTTATATAAGCACATAGATAAATACATGATAATATCTATATATTATTGCGGCGTTTCAGTTAAAGCTCTAATATGTTGAACTATTACTATTTACACTATAAGTAAATTAAATTTTATTTTTTGGGTTAAAAAGTGTGGAAATTCAATAAATAGTTCTCCATAAGGTGATATTATAGCAAAATATTAAAAATACATAGGCACGTTTTTTTATAACCGTTTAAAGTTCAAATTTTGACAAAATTTACAAATTATTTAGTTGTTTAAAATTTTTTAACACGTTCAACTTTTATAGCTGAGATTTGAAAATTTAAAACAAGGTTTCACGTAAGTAGTTAATTCTGCAACAAAAAAAAAAAATCTAGACTATACATACTTTTTTTATAGTTGTCTTAACTCTTAAGTTAAATTGTGGATGTAATTATAAATTAATTACCCAAGAATAACAATTTTAGTTATATTGTTGTGATTTAAAAATATAATTATTCGTTGGTAGGTTGGTACTTATTACTTAACATTTCTAGAGAATACTTTATATTCTTATTGTAATAGTTAATGTCGTTAAAATTATTTACATTAATACTTTATAATAGCTGATTGCATATACTATAAATGACTGGGTGAGTCGGATACATAATGAATCTTATTTAATTTATTTAGAATTTATTTTATAGCTACCTATATTTTTTTTTTTTTAAATAATAACAATTTAATTAATATGGTATAACATACTCTAGACAGTCTAGACTGACAAACCGTCTCCGTTCAAAATTGCTTAAGTTTATCGACTCGTTCTTAGAGTAGGAATTTAAGATAGATTCTATGGTGCTCAAAAAATCATTTATGATAGAGAAAGTATATGCATTTGTAAAGGAGGTGGTTTTAAGATTTTCGGAGATAGCTTAAGTTTCCACTGTATACATATTAGCGTTGGGTGAAAGAGAGAATTAAATTTGTAATGAATGATGATCATATCCTATGATCGAATAAAGCATTTGTGATCATGTTTATCTGATCCGACTGATCCCTAAGTATTTTTTCCTAGTATTTTTATGGTGAACATTATGTTTTAAGTTTTTTAACGTACAGAAGTTACCTGCTAAATTTTTTATCGAACGTGAGGTCCAGGGTAAGTACCTACAAACATTATTAGAAAACGTTAGAGAGGAGTTCATGAAAGTGATTAGTGGTAAAGGATCTTATTTCTTTTTATTGAAGAGTTGTATTGCGTTTTGAAGCCTTGTCTTCAAATTAAAGGTATAAAACATAAAAATAGATTCTGACGACCATACGGAGAGGTCATTCGGGGAAAATTGAAAGAAACGTATGTAGTAGTTTTGATTATTTGAGACTAGTTGCAGTATATATTGCAATCGTCTGCAAAGTTAATGTATTTTATCGGCTTGGGGAGTCTTTTGAAATTATTATTATTAATGGCGACAAGAAAGGAAGAAATGTTGCTATATGTTATAAGAGAATTTTGCTATTTCCTGTACTAGACGTCTAACTTAAAATATTTTAGGTACCAACGTAGTAGTTACATATTTGTATTATGTATCTAGTAGGTATCTACAATAGTAAATATATTATAATGTACCTATAAATACATATTACATTATAGGAGGTATATTATAGAGTTATAGACAGTACACACGTCACACAGCATCTTTTTACTTCCTATTTGTATAAGTTATGTTGATATTGCTGTATAAAAATGTATTTTTTTTTTGTATAGAATATTCGAATTCTGATTTTCTGTGGAATATATTATCATGAATTGTAATAAATTTGTAATGACCACAGTCTACGAGGTTCTATGTAATGGCTTTTTTCTATCTACAGCTTTATCATGCCTATTAATTAATAATGACAGAATTCATTCAACTTTGTATCCGTTGTACACATCTAATGCATAAAATGTATGCTTTGAAATGTATTTTTTAAAACAATTTTATTAATTAATTAATGTTATTTATTAGCAATGTTTATATTATTTACCTATGTATTTACATAAATAATTGCAGCATAAGTAATATTATTAATTATTATCATTCATAACATAATACCTATTCAATTAAATAGAAAAAATGCTGAATAATTACCCGAATATTAAGTTATTTGCTGTCTTTTTTTTTTTTATTATAATAAGCACTTGGAATTTTTATGTAAATTTAGGGCTTCATTAAATACCTATAAAACAAACACATTATAGATTAACACTTAAAGTTAAATATAAATTGAGTTCTTCCAAGAATAAAGACAACCTTCCAATGAAAATTTGAGTACAGTTGAATTTTATGAATTTGAACGGTAAATTTATGATTACACGGCGTATAGATAGTATGTAGGTAATTCAGCTCACTCCTGGAATCATTTTTCTAGTGTTTGATAATATTTTTTCAGCCTTTAGTTATTGACATTGAATCTCATAAACAGTCTTAAGAAACAATATTTAGTTTTTTTTTTTTTTTCATTTTAATTCTAAAGAAAATTTTAAACTTTTATCGAATTAGGTATATGAACAAAATTTTACCATAATAGAATTTAGTTAATAAAAGAAATAAATAAATCTTTTGCAATATCTTGATACAATGTATTAGTATTCATGTAATCATATTTTTACCTTATATAAATATTAAATAATTTTTTTTTTTTTTGGAAATATATTTATCGTTGGATAAAATATAATAAAATATCTCATACATTTTTATAGGTACTTATACAAATTAAGGCTTTTATTCTGATTAAGTACCTACCTACTTACTTAATCAAATTTAAACTGTGGCTATTAAGACGCTGTTGGTTGTTCAAAGAATTATATCGGTACAGTATTAAAAAAAATTTAAATTGTTTAATTACTTTAATACATACAGAAAGATTATTAGTAAATGTATATTCTGCAATTACAAAAAAAAAAAGAAAAACATAAACTAGGACACTATGAAACGTTTAGATACTTACAATCAAAATTATTAATATTATAGTATTAATAAGCTACCTGCCTAAAAAGTAACCATAAGAATAATTGTACAAATTAAGTCCAACTCATATAATTATTCATCAATAGTTAGTCGTCACTGAGTCAGTCAGTAACATTAAAATAATTTGAATCAGTTTAACATACTTGACTAGTATTGAAGAGGAAAAACACATAATATATTTAAGACATTTGAATTTGGTAACACATTTTTTAATTCTGATTGTAAAATAATAAAATAATATAAATAATATATGATAGTTATTTTTATTAAAATTGTGTTCAGTTATTTTTCAAACGTAAATATTATGAAATCCTACAAGTTACATAGCTTTCTACTAGGTATTTCTATTTACCAAAATGCAATATAAATATAATAGGTACAATGAAAATTATAAATGATTATACCATATTTTATAGCAGTATTGATTTACTTAATAGCATAATTATGTAATATAATGTTTTTATTTTTTAATACACTTAAAATATATAAAATTATCAATTAGAAGAATATAAAATAAAAGCTTTTTGAACTCATAAATATTATACACCTGACTGGTATGCATAGTTTTACTTTTATAATATAATTAAAAATATATAATATATTATACATACAAAAATATCCTTGTTAAAAAAATATTAAGTTTGTACACTAATAATTAGTACACAATATTTATATTAATCCATTAGTTTGATAAAATATTTAACTTATGATATATTTAAAAAAAAATATGCTTAAAGAACACAAATTATATGTAAAATATAATATAATAATGTGCTTCTAAAAAAAAAAAATTGAACTTATTTCCTTTGTATTTCATGTAAMCTTTTTAAAGCTTTTTTAACAGCATTTAACAAAAGCTCTTTACGTTGTCTTTCTTCTTGAACACCTTCTTTTTCAACAAGCAATCTTTCAGAAGATGGATTGTTGATTAAAGGCATAAACACATCTGCTTTCAATTTTTTATCAAATTTTTTTAGAACAAAGTTGACCAATTTATGGTTTATACGGTTTGGCACAAAATCTCTTAAAGTATTCCTAATRAATTCGAAGTAGCAACGGGTAAATTGTTTGTGCAATATTACTTGTACATTGATTTCATTTTTATAATTATTTAAGCCACCCAGACTGGACAATATATCTGTGTACATTTTACTTACAATTTCTTTTTCTATATTATTTATTTCAGTATTTATATCGGTTTTATAATTATCTCGATAAAACAATTTATTATAATAATTACTTTTATTCTCTATAAAAGATGAACGGCACTCGGCTGATGAATTAATCAATTGTAAAAGGTAATTGGGGTTAGTTGTATTTAAGAATTTCTGTTGTGTCTTAATGTAAGACTTTATAGATTTTTTAATACTGTTCAATTTTATMTCCAATAAGTTGTCCAGGATGCTTCTTACCTGAAATCAAAAGTACAATAACTATCATACCTAGTCAAATAAAATATATTTCATAGTTTTATTTATTTGAAATGTTGAATGCAGTGATTAAGTGATTATAATATCATTAAGTGCTACCCATAAAATGTGTCATAAAAAAATATATATATATTATTATTAAGTAGCCTAGAAATAAAGAATTTGTACCAGAGGTTTTATAATCTAAACTATTGATACGCAAGCACTTATTAGTCATATAAATTAATCATTATAATAAATGTGTAAAAAATTCATATGATAAATGTCATTATTTTTTTAAGTTAAAATAATGTACATAGAATTGTTAAAAGGGCTTAAACCATATTCATTTAAAAAAATTAATGTATAGCATTAAATATAAATGTAGTCAAGGCAATATAATGAGCAATTTTAGTACCACGAAGTCTCATGTTTAACATAATGTTTAAATAAATATTCCACCTTTAAAATTGGATTTTTAATCAGTTTTATTTGTTTCCAGAAAAAATTCAAAATTTGGTATACATCCTTTAAAAAAAATACTGTCAATATACCTACACAGTAGAAGGAAAATAAATATATCATTGAAGAGGTATTATCAAATAGAGTTACACAAAATAACAATGTTGCTCTTAATGGCGTTAGGTAAGACAAATAAAATACTAAAATAGGAATATATTAGTTGCGCCCAGCTTTTCAGTAATAATAAATTAAATAAATGACCGGGTTAATATGCTGAATGGTGTAAAGACAGATGATTATCCTTTAATAAATTTCACACAAAAAAGTTTCACAAATGGGTGACTTATTTTTATCAGCTAATTCATGCTATAATAGAAAAATTATAGAAAAAAAAATCATTGTGCATGATATCATATTTAAAAATTAATAAAAATTGATTATCGGAACAAAAATTGTGTAATATGTTTATGTAATTGCCTATACTTCGATTAATATATAGTCTTGTCAGGTATTTTTTGGTATTTAATCAGGTATTTGAGTATTTCTCAAATAATTTTTAGGAAGTAAATATATTTCAAATACTTTATTTTTATTTTTACCATTGTATATCAACAACCAATATTTTTGTTTTGTTTGTTACTATTTTAAAAATTATTCTTAAAATAATATTTTATAATATTTTTAAAAATGTATAAGAATTCATTAGATACAAAGATTGACCTAATAGTTAAAATTTATATATATTTAGCTGCAGTTTAAATTTCAAATTCTTGAACCAATTAAAGAATGTATTTATTGATTGAATTAGTATGGATTTATGATTAACATTCAATTATTTTAATGCATAAATAAAGTTCTTGTTAAGTACTTTGAATACTTTTAAAATGAATTTGTTTTTATTTACAAATACTCTCAAAAAACAGTATTGGAATACGTGTTCTGAATACGTTTTAAAAGTATTTTTAACAAGACTGTTAATAATTTATTAGTGTTATTAGCTATATTACACTTACATTTAGCTACATTGGTATTAGCTATATTTAACGGTATTAACTGCTACAATCATTTGATTAGGAGCTCAAATATTAAAGCAAATTATCTATTTAGTGTTTTATCCTCTCGATACAACTAATAAAATAATTCCGCACTCAAACAAATACCTCCTATTTAATTATAATAAAGTCATACTTACATTGTTATTTAGTTTTGGAAATCTATCAAGTTCATCCAATAACTTTTGATCAATGGAATCAAGGATGTTGAACAATTCATCACGCACAATGTCCACAAATGACAATGCTGGTTCAATGAGATACTCCAATTGTCTGCTTACCATAATTTCCAATGCCTTATGATTCACTAGTGAACTTTTTTTAATTCCAGAACTATTTAATAAATAATTTTTTATTTGTTCATCACTCAAATTATTCAATGGATCCACCGCCATGAAATGTTTAGAAAAGTGATCTTGTGTCGCATTTACAATTTTTGCACCACCCATTAACATTTTATCGGATATATCTTTTCTATCACCCATTACGGTTTCACAGTATGATCTGTTAATGTCATTTAATAACTCTAATATGAATGTTTTTTCGCAATCAGGTGTTTTCAATAATTTTAATTCACTTTCAAGTCTTGTTTTGGTCTCCACTAAGTTTTTGTACAAGGTTGGAATGGTTTTTTTAATATGTTTTATTAATACATCCTGTAATGTATTAGCCAACACTTGGGTTCCATGTGTTTTACAAATTTCTGGATAATTAGTTTTTAAAAATTCTGTTTCTTTTTTTAAGGTCTCTTGCAATGTCTTATTTTCATTAATATCTTTCTGAGACCTATTAACTACACCAATAATACCAAGTTTTACTGGAATTATTTTACCACATAGAAGATCTGTTACTTCATTTATTGTACCTTTATCAATAATATCCAACTTAGTAACCACTGCAATTGTCCTTGCACCATCAGGATCCAATTGTTTAGCTATTTTCAGACTTTCTGATGTAGCAGGATCTGTATTAGCAGCGACCATGGCTAAGATTATAGCGTTTGGTTGTTTGATATATTTGAATATTAGGCTTAGTATTTGTTCGTCAATGTCTTTTGGTTGATCACCAACAGCTACTTTAGTGATTCCAGGCAAATCAACAAATGTTAGAGTATACAAGGAAGTATAAACTTTTAATACTATGGGCTTTTTGGTAATTCCCTTATTTTCACCAGCCAGAATATCTGTCATTTTCTCTATTTCTTTTTTTACTTCATCAAAATCATGAAACACAATGTTGGGTTTATGCGAAAAACAAGCCCATTCTTTTATTCCATTATTATTTGTTATTTTCAACATGGATTCCATATCTTTGTCAGTATACTTTATCATTTGTAGAATTAAAGGAGCGCGAGTTACAATGCCTACTCCTCGTGGCAAGAAAGATCTGCCGACCAAATTCTCTAGAACTGAACTTTTACCAGAGCTTTGGGACCCGACAACAACGATCTGAGGTAAATCAATTGGATTTTCATGGATCACAGCAAATACATCTTGTAGCTTATTAATTGTTTGAATCAAAAACTCCATTGCGTTAATGATCAAAAATCCTGGAAATTAAAATAATTAAATTTTAAATCATTATAATAAAATATATTATATTTAGGTTAATTAATTTCCAGATATTTTCATCACAAACAGATAAAACTGTTACAGCATCTGCTTAGCGCAAGCAATACATTTGTAATTAGAAACTAAAAATATAAATATTTAAAATTATTGAAATAATACAGTTTTTAGTAATTTGAGGTATTTAATATTTCTACATCACTATCTATAATATTATAAACCTATTAATCTTTTTATAATTATTTACAATAAATACATAAAATATATTTGATGTATAATTTAAATTTCATATTAGGTATATTTATTTGAAAAAATATAAAAAATATAAACAATTTAATATTTATTATTGTTATTAGTATTTAGTACTTATTATTACTTWCTAAATAAAAAAAATTAAATTAGTTATTTTTTCAGTAATTTGTTGGTTTGTTACATGTTTTGTATTACTAATTTCACAATGTCATTTTTTTTTAGCTTTTATAGAAGGAAAAATGTATCAATATATTTTTATACATGCCAAAGTGTAAACGTAAACTTTAAAAAAAGCGGGTAAGTCGTGGATGTCGCTCTGCTGTACAGTAGGWTACTGTAATGGATGGGATTAAATTTGAATGCAATGATAGGCATCATTGTATACGAAAAACGATTCTGAACGAAGATGATTTGTCACTTGTCAGTCTAGGATATATTATATTTAAATATTGTCATCTATTCTATTTTGAAACAAATATTTTATTAGATTCTGAACGAAGTGATGAATGTATTGATTTTACAATGATGTGTGTGTTTTTTTTTTTTTGTGTTTGTGTACAGCATAACTAGTAGAAATAATGCTTCGATTTCAAACTTTGGTGGTGGTTTCCGATGTAAAATTGAA